GATAACAGAATTGTACATTATACAGGGTTGATTATTCAAGACGAGCCATCTAAGTAATTTTTTCAATTCTGGAGATAAAATGAAATGTTTGAAACAAAAATTTTGTGATCGTGATAATGATTTCGACAAAGTTTGTTTACGTTTTGAATTGATTGAGTATGATTTTGTTAACAAAGCCGAGAATATGTTCCAGAAGCATTCACCAATTTTCATTTTTCACTCATTATTACATCCGTGATCTTGAATGACCACGACCATTGAAATAGTTGAGAATAGTTGAGAAGGATTATAACCGTAAAAGTTCAAATATACATAGTCCCACTTAAAAAAATGAAAGTGACTTTTAAATTTCCTAATTTCCACCTGATAAAAAGTTTAGTTCATTATGTAATGACTCCCATCGGAACCAAACAACTTTTGTTTCAAACATTTCTCTTTATGTTCAAAATTGAAAAAATTATTCAGATGACCTGGTTTAAGTGACTCATCCTGTATAAAGTTATTAAATCGCACAGTTGCTTTGTTATGAGATTATAACGATATTGTATCGTTCAGTTTGTACCGAGATCTGTACCTTTATTTATTCTATTCGCTTTTTTTAAATATTTTTGCACATATCTATAATTAATTATATTTAATGAAATTTCTTAGAAATTAGGATTAATATTGTATGAAGAGTCTGTCTGAATTTAATTAATTCTAAGTATAAGATATTATATATGTAACAAATTTATCATATTATCGATGAACATATCTTTAGCTAAATTTTATGTGTAATGGATATCTCGATAATCCAGTTATATAAACACGAATAGTAGGTAGTAAGTTGGTTTTCATTTGCACGCTAATTGTTCTGATTTCTTGAGTACCGTTGAACGAAATCTTCAGAAGAATTGAGAGTATTTCGAACAGATACAATTTGAAAGATGTTGCGTGTAGCTTACTTGACGATCTTCCTTTTTGTAAATATCGTTAGTTATAAATTGGATAATGATGATATCACGGAAATTCCAAATTCAATGTCTCGCGGAAGGTGTAAGTAATAGAAAAATGAATGAAATTGTATTTAAAGATGACGAAGGTACAAAATAAAAATAATAAAAATTATAAAATTCAATTAATATTTTATGGTAGTTATATTTATTTTTGCTATATAATATAACATAAACATTTATATTATGTATGAAAATGATAAATTACTAAATCGATTTTTAAACAGTCTTCCCGCTATTCAGTGTTATTCGATTTGCAAACTCGCAATGCCTTGCTAGCAACAATTTAAATGGTACCTGCTTTACCAGAAGAGAATGCCGTAATTATGGTGGAATACCATCTGGCAGTTGTGCAAATGGACATGGTATTTGCTGTGTTTGTAAGTAATTAAAATATTCAAACAATTTTTTATGAAATTTGAATAGTGAGTTCATTTAAATTTAATGTTTACAGTTCAAAAGACATGTGGTTCCACAACAAATGTAAATAATACATATTTTACAAATCCAGAATATCCAACAACTTATGAAAGGCAAGGACGATGCACAATAACAGTACAACGTTGCAATTCAAATATATGCCAAGTGAGCTAATAAAATATGCTAAAAACTTTAAGTTCATCATAATAATTATTTCGCTGAATTAAACGTTGATCGAGTTAAAGGATATAAACTTTGCTAGAAAATTGAATTAGCATATACTTTTTTTTCTTTTTCTATTTCTGTAAAAAGTTATATGATTCATGTTTAATTTGTAATATCCTAAATTGGTTTTAGTTACGTTTGGATTTCTTGGAATTTAATCTTGCTCCACCGAATTCTAGTGGAATTTGTGACCTTGATCTCCTTTTAGTTTCTTCATCTGGAAGCAGAATACCTCGAATTTGTGGAGAAAATGCAAATCAACATGGTAATAAATAAAATTATTGACACAATAATTACATACAAATATCAAATTATATGTAATCGTAAATAAATATGTCATAATTAGAATTTTACAATATAAATTGTATAAATATTTAATATATAATATACTTAATGTGAAATAAAATAATTAACATTTGCAGAAACACTTTACCCGGATAAATGAAAAATTAATTTATGATTTTTGAATAGTAAAATAGCTTCCTATATTTAAACAAAATAATTTAGAAAATATAAAAATATAGATATAAAAATATAAATATAAAAATTTAATAAAATTATATTTGGTTGAATTATATTTATATTCATTGATAATACATATACATATATTTCATGAACTATTGAGTTGCAGGGGTATATTTATATGATTTATATCTTCTATGTTCAGAATCGCACTTTAAATTAATTGGTAAATCTATGTCCACATGAAACTATGTATTTGTATTATGTATTTGTAAATACATTCAATTATTAATAACACTTATAATAACTTAACACTAATCAACCCTTTTGTTGATTTTAATTTTTCAGTGTATGTAGATTTCAATGATGATACTCCTATTATGATATCGATTGATACTAATACTGGATATCCTACAGATCGTCGTTGGAATATAAGAATTCAACAATTACCCTGTGATGCAACATATAAGGGTATGTACATTTTAAACATATTTTATATTGCCTTCTTTTAAATAGGTATATATTTCATAATTAACAATTAAAAATTGACATTTAAGTACATTAATATTTAAAAAAGATTTTAACTTAAAATAATTTTAGCCTTTTATTTATAAAAGTTATATCATTTTTTTAGCTTATAAAAAGTAAGATATTGAGAATATGTTATTGCTATCTTAAGATAGAAGTAACCAACGATATCTAGTACTAAAATACTTCTAACTAATAACTTGATTATATTCTTCTTACAGCCCCAAATGGATGTTTACAGTATTATGATAGTGTCACAGGTACCGTAACAAGTTTTAATTACGGCACAACACAAAATCCAAGAGGTATTATAACTATAATAATAATAATAATTTACAGAAATTAGTTATTTTCTAAAAATAACTATATACATTACCACTTACTTAAAACATATACAAATGTACATGACTGTAATAATTTTTTCCACTGGTATTGTTGATAATTGATTTTTATTTATACAGTAATGCGCCAGTTGCAAACTACAACTACATAATAATTAAATATTTGAGTATTTAGGACCAGAATTTTAAAAAATCTAATTTATATTTTACAGTAAAATTTTTTATATACATTTATGAATATATAAATTGTATACCTATAATAACTATTGTATATCAAAAGTTCAACAAATCGTATTTTTTGAGTTTTATATTATCAAATTTTTTAATATTTTGTCTAAAAAAAAAGTATTCTTATGGATATTAATAAAAATTAATTAATAGAAGATACTTATTATTCATGGGAATGCCATTTAATTATTAACAATAATTAAATAGTAAAAAATAATAAAAGTTATAAAACTTAGGTAAAAATTATTTTAGAACCACCAATAGGTACACGACAAATCGCAAATACGAATTATGGTGTATGTGTAAGAATGGCACAAGGATATTGTGCCATTGAATGGTCTCAAACAAATTCAAATTCATTTACCGTTTCTGGAGATACTGGTGCATTTGACTCTACTTTAATAGGTAACATGATGTCCTAATTAGTTACTTACATAGTCATAAATATTTATGTTAAAAGTGTTAATTTATTATTATCATTATAATATCATATATTAATATATTATACAAAACATTTTCAAATTTTATTAGCATTGTAATGAGACATAACTATTATGATTATATCAGTAAAATTTGAAAATGTATATAGAAATTACAAAATATTTATTGTAAGCATATGTTTGTCAAAAATATTATTACTATATAAGCCATAATATTTCCTGAGATCATCTTTAACACTAATTATATGTTTAATATGCTATATATTATTTTCCTACTAAAAATTATGTTCGCAGTGTCTTTTAACTTCTATAAACATCTTCGGATTGGTTGCAAATTTGATTAATGTACTTATGATACTCGTGCCTCATTATAATACTAATGAAAGCCCATTATACTTATTAAATGTTGCAAAATAATTTGTTACTTCCAAAAACAATCGTTTCTTAAATGAAAACAAATCATTATTTTAATATTATTAATTAGTATAATTATTTGTAAATAAATAGGTACTCAATATGCAGCAGAACAAGGAATCAATTGCACTAAAGATTTTGTTATTATTCCACATCCATTTCAAAATGGTGTTGCAGTCGGTACAGAACGATTTTGTGGTAATGGCTTTATAACAAAAACATGTAAGTACATATTTACTATATCTATAATTTTCTTTTTAACCAAACATAAAATACTTAATATAAATAACTTGCATAGTTCTGTGTCTGTTTATAATGTATCACATATAAATATATGCACAAAATTTACATACATATGTGCACTATATGATTCTATTATAATAGCTTCTTTTATTTTAGCTTTCTCCAAGCCATTTGTACTATATGTTGTCACAGATGGCGATGAAGTTGGAGAAGTGGAAAATAAAGGATTCTCATTAATGTATCGTCAGCTACCCTGTGTAGCTTAAATAAAAAGCATGTTCTTATTTCACATATACATATGACATATACACTATAATGATAATATTATAGGGTATAATAATTTTTATTTGGTTTGGAGGACTTTCTTTTTCATTTGCTACCCTTTCCTACGATTATCACAGTCAGTAAAATACTAAGAGTTTGAAGAATCATGTGTACTATTTCTTGCTAATTATCGAATTGTAAATATTGTACCATTATTATATTACATCATTATTGGATTTTATGTTAAAATATAGGTATATTTAATTTTATCGTTATATTTTATGTTATTATTCTTCTCATATGTTGAACTGAACTGTTATTATTCATATGTTCTTTAATTTCTACAATTACAAATTTAATTACAAATAATACTTTAATTACAAATTTATTGTTTATAATACAATCTCTCTTGTGTCTTTTTATTGTAGTGATACCAATATAAAAGAGCATAAAATATAATTTTATTCTATCTAGTATTCTTTAATGATCAAAATGAATTATGAAAAAATAATCACAAACAAATGATAATAGAACTGTAATGTAAACAATAAGATAATAAAAATGTAAACAATACAAATCAATATGTTTTATTTATATTATTTAGTCATTAAATATTTGCTTCCTGAATGAGTTTCTACTTCCTTTGTCATAGCATTATACCATGTGCTAAGGTTTGTATTATCTAAAGCATCTTTAAAAGCACTGCATCCTTCTATGCTCTTCAAAACTCCATATACAGCAAGATCTGATAAATTAGGCTTTTCTCCTCCCATAAATGTACCACCATGTTTATTAATAGCGTTTAACCATTTGTTGATTTCATCATACAAAGATTGTCGAACATCTTGTTTTAAATGATGTCTTTTTTTTAATCGTTTTGATATAAGCCACATAGCTGTTGCACCTACATTTATCATAATAAATCTTTCCCATGTTGGAAAATATTCTTCCCATTTACCAACCTAATTGATTAGAAAAGTATCTTTTCATTCTACCTTCTTTTTTTAACCCCTTGCCATACTCGGAAGAATCTGGACCCAAACGTTGACCCGAATGGTCGAGAAAGGAGCCGAAGTGGCTGAGACAGTGTCGGAACTTAAAACATGATATCGTGCGACTGAGTGCGTAGATAGCCGTGCCCGTGTTTAGAAAAAAGACACCATTCAAGACATTCACACTAGGCCTGAGATTAAGATCACGAGTCTGACCTGTGATATTCAAGTTTAGCTCAAAATTCTCATCACGACTCAGACTCGTAAAAGTATGGCAAGGAGTTAATTTATACATTAATGCTAAAATTATTATATTATCTTGCTTGGTTATATAGTGTGTTATGATGCTTAACTGCTATTAAACTACTTACTTTAGAAAACCAATTGAAAGTTTTATAGGCTTCATCAAGTGTTCTATACACATTCGGTGATAGTGTGTGCACAAATTCATCATCAACCCATTTTCTCCACTTACGCTCTTCCCTAGAACAATATGTTACTCAAAATATAAAACGTAAATAAATATTAGTAATATAAAATATAAGTATTAGTATTGTAATTTTAATGCCACTAATAACTATTCTTTCTACAATGGAACTTACATGATCTTATCCATAATTTTATTTGCAGGTAAATTATCTTGATACATTAAGAAGTATTTATTCATAATTTCATATTTTAATCTTCCATTTTCATCATGCATTGCTATGCTTGGATAATATTCTATTAAATCATTAATTTTTTGGGATCTCTCTTTCAAATATGATGCTAGTAGAGAAATAATCATTGAACTATCATTTAAAGGTTGATATCCTGAATCTACTTGTGCTAAAAGTATTGGTACTTTTTTATAAGATGACCAAGATATTTCTTTCCGTAATACAGGATCAACTTCCACAATTTCATAAGATATTCCATAGTAATCCAAGAAAACTCTGACCTAAAGTGGTTTTATACTTACAATTATCACAATTTATGAAAACAATAATTTATTATTTCTAAAAAAATGTGATTAAAATTTAGCTACTATATTTTACACTTATATTTTCATTTGAAAAATATACATGCTGCTAATTATATCTTTATCATACTATTAATTCAGTACTTACTAAATAAATGATACATATGAATATTTTACCTTGCAACAAAAAGGACATGTCTGATATTGATAAAGAGTTAATTTTAATTCAGTAGTGTCCACTGGAAAAATAATCTGCAATAAAAATAAAATAAGAAAGTATTTTGATGTATGAAAAACAAATTAATCCAATGTTAAGCTTTGAATTAAATAAGCATGAATTAATATGTAAACACAAAATACTTCTCTAGAAACTGGTATTGGTGGTTTTTCTTTAAGTATTTTAATTTTTTCTTCTTTTCCTTGAAGGTGATATGTTTTTGAAGCTTCCATATTTTTATACCAAGAATATCCTGTGGTAATAGCTATACCAACAGGAAATCCTATAGAAATTCCTACCAGACTTGCTTTAAATACAGTTCTTAGCATTGAAGATTGTTGAGATGCTGATAAAATACTTTCATTTCGTTTTGGATATCTTTTAATAACATTTTTTGCATAATATAAATTTTGTGGAAATCTTGACAGTCTTTGCAATATAGACATTATGAAGTCTTATTATATACACAGATTAAAATAAATTAATTATTTTAAATATGTTACTCTTAAATAAATTATTTTGCTCCTCTCAGTAATATGACAATTACAAAAAAGGTTATGCATTAAAATTACAAAATATATGACTTTCGTAATAAACTTTATAGATCACGCGTTATTCACATTTAATTTTCATTCTAATACGAAATTTAATAAATAATCTAATAAAATTATAAGAAAATATCCAGCACAAATTTGTATTTTTATTTATTGTTGTTTACTATTCCACTAAATGTATAATTAATAACACTTATCTTTTGCATTAGCTCTGATAAACAGTTTATTAACTTTATAAAGAGTTTATTCTTTAGAAGATAGGGATTTAATATTACACATTTATAAATTACAATTTATAGGAAAAAATTTATATTTCATATTCGATCTTTAATAAACTCATTTTAATTTATTTGTAGAATAGATGCAATAATATCAACAGGTTAATTGAGTAAAACGTTTTTTCCACCGGTATTGTTGATAATTGATTTTTATTTATGTACTATTGAATTTGTATCATGAACAAATTTTAAAGGTTATGTAATTTATATTGTACTTCTGTACTATATATTTTGCGCAGGCGTGACAAACGCGTAACAGTTAAATAAAGTATGTAAATTACAGTCGGTAATTTACATATTGTCTGTGAATAAAAGAAACCGAAAATTTAATGTTAAATATTGAATCGAATAGCATCTTCAAATATAAATGATACCTGGTGACACACATGTACATTTGTGCGCGCATATATTATATAGCTTGTCAATAGTTGTCAACTAATATCTAAAGCTTCGTAGCTGAACTAGATGTTTGAAAAAAAAATGAAGTTATGATTTTATAATGTAATTTTGGTGTAGCTATTAGGAACGAATAATATCTATTAATCTCGAAAGTATAAATACATATATATAATATATATATTACATATCTGTGTATTTATAATTAAAACAGTACAAACAAACTTAACCTCAAAGTTAGGTAAAAGTATCAAATATATCTATATATTAAAAAAGATTAGGAGAGATATTCAACATGGTAATTAAAATTAATATTTAACTGTACTTTTACTTTATTATTATCCTTATAAATTATTAGTACTTTAATATAACTATCAGAGGTGGTATATACTATAAATAAAAAAATAAAATAATTTAATACCTTTGATGTAACATTTCCATTATTTGATTGTTATATATACTTTTTGTATATTTTACATTTGATATGGTTAAATTTGCAATAAAAAAAAAATAATAAATTTTCAGCATGGCAGAGTAAAAGTTCAAACAACTGCAGAACAGGAAGCATTGAAGAAGAAGGAAAGAGCTGAAAAACTTTCACGTTATAGAATTGGCATGAGTATTGTGTTTAAGAAAGTAATCTCACAAATATATCACTTAATATATATTATAGTGCTAATTGTGTTTATATAATCTCATATAGTTAAATAATAAGCAGCCGAATTAAAAAATAAAATACAGAAAAAGTAATTTAGTTAAATTTATTAAAATGTAACTATTTATTGTTATATATTACAGAGAAACGATAAGATTTATGATGAAGAATTGATGATGGTTACTGAACGTATGGTAAAGCAAAATCCAGATATTTATACTTTATGGAATATTCGTAGAGAGGCATTTACAAATAATGATTGGTAATTATGTGGTAGCAATAATTTTAATATTTTTTTAATGATTAATAGCTATTTGAACTCTTTAGTATTAAATAATAAGTACATCTTATTTGATATTTTATTAATATAATTTTTTATATATAACGTATTATACATAATACAGTGATACTATAAATATATATGTATTAATCCCTTAAGATTCATGAAGAAAAATTTTTCTAACACAGAATAATAAATATATATATTTAAATTCAAATATTATATAAGTAACAAATTTATTAAATTTTAAATTTAACAATTATGAGTAAAAATTAACATCAAAATGAACGTTATATGACATGTAATATAACTATAAACAGGGATGAAAATCTTTTGGAGGAGTATTATCAAAATGAATTAAGACTTACTGAAGATTGTTTAAAACAAAATCCTAAATCTTATTGGGTATGGTATCAACGAATATGGATTATGAATCATTTAGTAAACTGTGATTGGAAAAGGGAACTAATGTTATGCACCAAGTATTTAAATTTAGATGACAGAAATTGTAAGTTACTAATGTTATTAAATTTTTTATTTTTATTATTTACAAAATATTAAAATATACAAATATTATTTTTGGTCTATTTTAGTTCATTGTTGGAATTATAGGGAATTTGTTGTACAAAAAGCACAAATTTCTCCTGAAGAAGAATTTGAATTTGCTACCTCAAAGATTCTAAATAATTTCTCTAATTATTCTTCCTGGCATTACAGAAGTTTATTGTTATCAAAAATATTTCATAATTCTGACCAAAACAATATTAATGAAAAAAAGAAACAAGGTAATGCTTTTATGGAATATTAATAGCGTTTGTAAAATATGTTTGCTTTGACACTATTTTGTAATATGTATAGCAAAATTACCATTTCCCTTTTAGAATTAGATTTGGTCATGAATGCCACATTCACAGATCCTAGTGATACTAGTGCTTGGTTCTACCAAAGATGGTTATTAGATACCCATGAATGCCTTCCTATTCTTTCTCAAGCCTTAATACAAGATAATAATGTGATCCTTTTTGCTAATAAAAATATACTAGCCGAGTCAATATGTCTACAAATAAATAATGAAAATGAGAACATTCAATGGAAATCTTTATATGAAACAAAGATTTCGAAATTGTGGTTTGGAAAATTTAAAAAACAGTTAAATGAAGCAAAGAGTGTTCAGATAGAAATTGAAGGAATACTTTATCCTTTACTCTGTGTTAATCAGAAATGGATATATAGAAAAAGGAAATATAAATCCTGTTCTAATAAAGATCAATTATTAGAACAATTATCAAGTTACAAACAACTTGTAGAAATGGAACCTAATAATAAGTGGGGTTATTTAACCAGTATTCTTTTAATGAGGAAAATCGATTTTATACAGTTTTATGAAAATATTTTAACAAATTTGAATGTTCTTGTTAATATTGATTCTCTTCGGTCCAATTATTATAAAGATTTGCGTAAGTATATTTAACGAATAAATTATAAAAATTTAATGATATATATACAAAATGTTTCATCCTTAACCAAACAGCTACATATTTCTTTTAACTCTAATGATACTAGAAAATATTTAAGATATAATGTGAATGGTTCAAAAAAGAAATATTTTAGAAAAGAAATTTCATTTTAAGGTAATTTTTACCAAGCTTTTTGAAAGTCACTTTTATTTTTTGGCAGGAAATTTACTCTATACGTATATTGTCTATCATATAGTCTCAAAGTGATCTTGAATATTGATAAAATAAAATCCTGAGACAATGTTTGGGTATGTCTTAATACAAGTACTCAGAATGACGTTAATCAGTAGTGATGCACTTTGTAAAAGGAGAAGTTGTGTCTGACACGATAGCAGCACAAGTTGCAATTATACAAAGATAAAGAAGATATTTAGGGGTCTGGTTAAGGTTGAAACACTCTGCAGAACTTATTTCTAGATTATTTAAGATTAAGTAAGTTTATATTATTGCTGAATATATAAATTTAAAAAATTTGAAAAATTTTATATAAATGTTACAGTTGCTAACTTTAATTTGTAGAATTTAAGTTTGATAAAATTGATTGTCCTTATTGGAGAATTGATTCTAAAATTAATGACTTTTATAAATGCTATAAAATTAGATATAGAATTAATTGTTAGAAAAATATATAAAATCATGTTAAAATATAATTTTGATTAAGTTATAATAATTAATTATTTGTTAATTCAATTTAGAAATTAAACAATGAATTTTTTTTCAGGGAGCAAATACATAATTGAATACAAAATTTCTGAATTATGGAATATAGAAGAAGATCAAGAAACAGAAATAGAAATTGATCTTTCTGGATTAAATTTAACCACACTCAGTAATAACGAATATCTCAGTTTCTTTGAGCAAATAAATCTTAGTGCAAATTATTTATCACATTCCTTAAATCAATTATCTTTACTCCAAAGTTGTAAAAAATTGTCACTTTCAAGCAATCAAATGGAAAATTTAAAAGAGTTTCCTATGTTACAGAATCTTGAAGTTTTATCATTAAGAAATAATAAACTAAATAATTTAGAAGAAATATTACAATTACTAACGAAACATAAATTAAAGTTACTTGATTTAAGAGAAAATCCAATCTGTAATCTTAAAGAATTAGAAAATAGTATTATACAAATCAATCCAGATTTACAACTATATGTAGAGTGATTTTCATAATACACATATTGATAATAAGATATTGTCCAGCATAGGTATATAAATAAAAATTTAATGTTTGGTTATATGGGAAGAATAAAAATACTTATTTATTATTTTTTTGTATTATATTACACCTTTTCTTATAAATTTGTATAATTAGTTTCTAAATTTAAATAACTTAATGTATATTATATATTTTCATTCAATACAATATTCAATAAATAGAGTAATATATAAAATATATGACTAAAGTACTTTAATTACTTTCGTTACTGTTCACAATTTAAAAAAAATCAGAAATATCTGAATTCTACATTGCATAAAAAGGTAATTAAGATAACAGAAGAAAGCTTATTTCCCTAATGAAACTATGTAATGTCCTTGTTATAAATTCTTTAAGTATACAAATTTGTATTTTGAATCAATATATAGTTTCATAAATAATATATACATTTTCTGTTTTAATTAAATTTAAACTACTTTTAATGTTTTCTTAATTATTATCTGCCTCTCATTTTCCCAATTTAATTTATCTTACGTTGTCGAATTGATACATTGTCAAAAAGTTAATGTAATTAAAAAATAAATAGATAAAATTATAAATTCCTTTACATAAAGATAAAGTTTTTGTATACCCTGAGACTTAAGACTATCCACATTGTTCACAAACAATAAAATGATTTGCAGGACATCTTGATTTTTTATATTTATTGTAACTTGTGAAATTGATACAAATAATAGATGAAAGATAATATTATGACTTGCTTTGTAAACAATAGTAACCCTATACAAAAGATTTTTTATGTGTATATTATATACATGTATATATTATATACATATTAAAACAATTCTTAAGTTTAAATAATACATTGTAGTTATTATTGAATAATTAATCTGTTTTGAAGGGCAAGTATTTAATTATATAAAATGAAATGAACTTTATAATAAAATTAACGAATGATTAAAAATTACTATTTTATCCAATAATTTAAAATTGAGGAATGCGATTTAGATTCTGTGAATTTTATATTTTCAAAAGTTTTGAAAGTTTTGAAAATATTGAATTTGTATACTACTCCCAATTTGCTTTTATTATAAAATTAATTTTAGAAAATATTATGTGCTAGTACTTATTCATAAAATATAAATATATATAATATGGTACTCATGAATGTTGCTTAATGAAACTTACTTTTATAAGGACAAGTAGTTTTTTCCGCGCGTAATAATAAATTTAGTAAAATCAAAAATGCATTATCAAATGAAACAAATCTATTACATTAAATATTTTTACTTTCATTGAGGTTTGATACAATAAAATAATATTAGAACTGTTCGATTCGTTTGCATGAAATTAAGCAAATAAATCTATAATTTTTTCTATGTTGTTTCAAATGAATAATTGCTGTATCTTTCTTTTCATCTGATACATTTATAGTATTTAATTTTCTATTTTATTTAATATAATATACGACATAACATAAGCGTTTCTATAAAGTACTATATAAGCAATAAAACATAAGCCAATGTCAATAAAAATTATATTGATAGCTGTGATTATGAATAATTACTTATACGATTATACATATGTATATACGTATAATAAAGTAATATTAAAGTAATGATAACTTTATAATATTAAAAATTGTTATTCCTGAATGCACAAAATTGTTATTGCTATTATATATGTATAACTCTTTCTCTCTTTATTCGGCATTTATAATTTTTAATTTACCGCTTATATCAGAACCAATCAATAAGAAATAAAATGGTTCTAGTAGAAAACGTACCATTACTGAACGCAACTTACATTATTGTTTGGATTACCATTCGATTTATTTATTCTCTGACACTTGATATAGCAAACAATATGGCTTATCATTGTTAAAATTCTACCGAGCGGACTTTCTGTTAAAAGATTTCGAATTTCTTAGGGATACGATGAATTATTTCGAAATAATTTTATCATCTTGTTTTTTCGCTGTTAGTATGCGTACCTGATACTTATGATATTCCGTGTAGGTGAAGGTGAGCGTATATATGTATGTAAACGTGATACGTATGTGCACATTGAATCATTATTTCTCATAACCTTTTTATGAATACGAAATATAGCAGATGCAATTAGACAATCTTTAAAAGATGTGGGTAAATCCATACATCTTGTAGCCGGCAAGCGGCGAAGATACTAGACGCATACTATATTCAATGGAGTGGACTGTATTCTTGTGATTTTTCGCTTGAAGTAGATTTTACCGTATCTTCGATTTGCGAGAAAATTTTTATTCCGAGTCTAGTTAAGTGTGTAATCTCTACAGCGTATATCATATCATGGCCTCGTCAAATAGAAGAATTCAAATCGGCTCTGCTTGGTTTCAAACAAAGATTAACCTAAGACCACAGCGTCGAGGTATCCATCACGTTACCGAGGAAATCTTAAGAAGAATTCCTGAACTCTGCGAATTTTCAGTCGGACTTTGTCATATACAAAGTAAGTGAGTTTCATAGTACAGAAAAAAACTATTACAATTTTTTAATATTAAACTATTACAAAGCATTGATAAATTATATTTTTTTTCAAGTAAAAGTTCAATTTTAATGTATTTCATATCTCTGGAAAATAATATTTATATTGCGTAGTATATGTATACATATTTGCTAATATACGTATCCACATGTATACTAATATTACATGTAATAGTATATATATAATACTATATTATTATATATATATATAATGTTTATGTATGTATGTACAAAGCAATAAACATTTATTTACAAATATTTTTATTTTTACTAATTTGGATTACAATCCAAGAGAAAATTAAATAATATACTAAAATCTATTAAAAAGAAGAATACGAAATATTCTTTTTTATTACTGATAACCTTTAATGATATATATAAACTAGATAAGATAAAAAAAACGTAGAAAAGTATGTTAATATTAGATACTATTAATTACCATGGTAAAATTAGAAAATGTATACATTTTTCTACATTTTAACAAATTGTTAAAACAATAACATTTTATTAAAAATTCTACATTATTATTATTATTATTGTGGAAATAAAAATGATATATTTATAGGTAATGTATTGAGTAAACTAATTATATTAACCAGACGAAGTAATAAAATGTTCATGGAACTAATATAAGTATTACAAAGATATTTTCCTATAGCATAAATAGTTTCCATTATTTTTTAGTTCTTCACACATCAGCAAGTTTAGCACTAAATGAAAATTGGGATCCAGATGTTAGAGATGATGTAGAAATGATGCTTAATAAAATAGTTCCTGAAGGTTTGGCCTATAGACACAGTTGTGAAGGACCAGATGATATGGTAAGTTTATGAAATATCTTTTATTATTTCTGAAATTAAATTATGCTGTGCATTATATATATAGATCTGTGAATTTTTGTTGTAGTTTATAAATATTATGTTAATAAAATAATGCAATTAAATATAAGAGAAAACAATATGCTGATAATTATATTTTTTTAATAGCATATCATTTTAAAACGAAAGTTCAGCTTTTTTCTTTTTAATTATAAACATAGTAACTTTATAAAAATAGACTTATAAATTTATACATAGATATAATTATATTATTTATAGCCAGCGCATGTAAAGGCATGTTTTCTGGGCTCTTCATTGAGTATTCCAATTACTGATGGCAAATTGACTTTGGGTACGTGGCAAGGAATTTGGTTGTGTGAACATCGTAATGATGCTGGAAGTCGCAAAGTAGCTATTACATTGACGGGTTGTCTCAGGGATCCTGCACGTAGTCCTTTGAGCCCTGTTAGTCCTATTGCTTCTACTAGCAGCTAGGACCACTCACACCCCCAAAGGCGTAGCAAACGTCAGCTGCGCATATCTACATCCAGTGATTCAAGCTAGCAGCTGCTTAATCTTAGACAAATTCTAAGAGTATAATTCAGAAAAGAGTGTATGGATACTTCAAAAATATATAAATATTACATTTTCTTATATCCATTCATTATCACAAATTTCCAGCATTTTTTATAATGGCATAACTTGTAAAATCATAAAAATAATTGACAATATTTATTAATGTTCTTATGCTTATCTCATATATCTTATATTTTTTTATACATATAAATATAATATATTTATTACTTATATTTCAATAAATACATAAATATTTAGTAAATATACATTTTGATTTTATTTAGATTATATAGAGACATTTCTCTTTAAACTGAGTTAACAGTAACTATCCAAAAATGTGGTTCATTGAATATATAATGTTGTTCAGTACTTATAAACTGCCAAGGCAATTGTATATTATATGCATTCAGAAATAAATATAAACGAATTACAAGTATCCTGCACTCTTCATCGCTCTTAGAAAATTAATGTAATGCATTCCGATATAATGCGTCCAATACTCCGAATTTAATTACATAGCTTTATTTAAATAATTCTTTTGTAAAAAAAAAGATTAATAAAGAAAATGGCATTAATAATTGCTCAGCTGAGACCTTACATCACTTTTTATAATATGTAAGAAAATCTCAGCTTGAGTATGTGCAATATGTTATAACTTTCTAACTCACTGCTTATCATAGGGTAGGCATTTTTAATGACGTTTCCAATGCATTTGGGGGTGTATATAGGTTACAATCAACACTTCTTTGCTGTGCTAATATATTTCTGCTAGAGATATCCACATAAGTTATATTAATAGTAACAACATGTGGGCAACAATTCAGTATGAAAGTAGACAGTTAAGAGAATCATCAAACTATGCAAATAATGATTTAGACTTACTACATTGTTAGGTATTTACTGATAAAAATATTCTAGAAACTTAAATAATCTAATTAAAACATAAAATGTCATCTAGAAATGTAGCACTGCAAAGAGTTGTAATAAAAATTACCTACAATGTTACTAAAATAACCAAAGCTTATCATGGGAGCTTGTTAATGTATCTAATGTACTGTAAAGCAAGCAGTCGATGTTAGTTGTTAATCTTTCTCATATATAATATAAATGGTCGTCCATTATGATTAATGAATATGCTTTAATGTGAAGTATCCAATGCAATTCATATAGCTTACATATTAACAGCTCAAAAATATAAAACTATCAAAAATTATGATAAATTTTTAGCAAGTTATACATTTTTTTCTCATAAAGAAATATATGGAACGAGTTGGTATACTTCATCATATAACATTAAAAATTTGAAATTCATCTGTGAATTCAATTCTAATTTTGTTAATATGCTCAACAATCCAAATTATTAAATATGTAAAATTCATAGCAATTTGCTATTAATCAATTCACCTACCAAGTTCATTTCATAAATTAAATGATTGAAAATTATTATATTTGCAAGATAATTACCGTAAACAATAATACACTATATATATATTTTATAATATATTAATATATATAAATATAATTAATTTCATCTTAACATTTGAAGATAATCATTTAATTTTCTGATAAACTTTTATTTTTTCTGGCAAAATAGTAATCATTGCTTAAACTATAGTTAAAGAAGTGCATATATATTTGTTTTAAAGTATGTATATTTCTTTTCAGTTGACACATATCCAAATTTTTAATATTATGTAAAACACATGTATAGTGATTATCTCATAATCGTTGTTATTATAACAAATCTACAAATTTGACGAATTTATACATTTTCAAATCATTGGTTTCAATTTTTAAAATAAAAAATTTAAGCTGTATATTTATCACATGTCTTATAAAAGAAATTAATAACTATATAACTAAAGTTAAACTTTTACTAAGCAATTATAAGCAGCATTTATAAAATGTTACTTTCCACTTATACGTGCAACATATTAAGTTAGTATGATTTCCCATTTCCTAAGAAAAGTTGTTTTGTATTGTTACGAAAGAAAATGTTAAAAACATTGACATAATATAATTGTGTGTACAATTTGCAAAGTTGTGTTCTAAGATTTGTTTGGTATTTTCCTATCTATATAAAAAAATACTTATAATAAATCTTTAATTTACTAATGAATAATTTTTGATTATGTCTATATTTTGCAGTGTAATGTTATATAGTGGATGATTTAATGAAAGTGTTAACAAAAAGTGTTAATATAATTTTGTGTAAATATTTCATACATTTACATTTTTTCAAACTGTTTTGTGATTAGTTTCAAGGTAATTAAAAAGGTTTAGTATTTATAATATTATTATAATAGCATAATTAGCATCAAAATTTAAACTTAATATTTGGAAAAATAAAAAATTGTATTTGCATATTTAATTGAAAATCAGATGTTTTTATGCCTTGATTATGAGATAAACAACATTCGATATAATCACAGTTTTCTAAATATTTAAGTTATTCGATATTTATAAAATTTTCTAGATATATGAAATATTAGTTTTTATTTAGCTGGATATAGTGGACCTATAATAACAAATTATAGAAAACTAATACATTAGGATTATACAGTATATAATAAATACTATTATACATTAAATTTAACGTTATTAAATGTACATATAAAATTATATTTTTAAGTGAAGTATAGTGAGAACACCATATTATGAGCGAATGTAATGAAGTTTAAATGCAAATATGATAATTGTATAATATCCCTAAAATGTAGTAATATATAAAATTGTTTATATAAAATAAATATAATGACTTCTTATGCAGCTTGAAAAAAGTTTCATTATAATATAAAAGAAAAAAATACAATTTTACAAAGTTGAATTTTACTACATCTCATTTTTATACCAAGTTGTTTACTCAAAGAATTAAAGAAATAAAAATACCAATTTGTATAACATTATATTCAAAACATAGTAAGTTTCAACATACGTACTATTAATATTTCTAAATTGTATTTAATATAAAAAGTGAAAATTATAATTAAAATTTTCGTACAAAATACAATTATGAAATAGATGAATGATGATATGAAACCTTATTGTTGTAAAAATAATATATTATGTTAATTTTTCCATTATGTGCAGTTAGAAATAAAAAGTAACAAAGATTAATCCATTACAATGTACAAACCAATCATTAGCAATGAATTCATTTCTTGTATATATATAGTCAATTAATACATTTTGATTATGGTAAGAAGATAACAATATAATGGGATTAGTGATATGTATTATACAATTATATATATATTACATATAGTAGTTACAAATAATTCTCTGCTATTTAGTATCTCTCACAAACATAGTTTTAGTATTATTTTAAATCTGTTTTATGACAATGTACATGTCTTTTTCATAAAATGCTAATTTATATTGTTTTTGAGAAAGGGTTAATTTGTTTGCATAATATTTAATCATATTTATTTAAGAAGTGGTATCTAAAATATAAATTTAAAAATTGTTTTCAATGCAAATTGTGACAAACGATTTATAAAATTAAATAATTAAATAAAAGTATGTGGATATGTAGATATCTGCGGATGCCTATGTGTATGTTACATACAATAAAATTATAGCACTCTATAAAAAATTTAAAATTTGGAATAGTAAATATGAATTACTCATATTGGTAAATGTACTGTAATACATGTAATAGAAGAAAAAATCATTTACTCACTTTATATTTACTTTTATTTTTTATATTTTTCACTTATATTTTGCATGCAAATTTACTTTATTTTCATTGTATTTTCCTTAAATAATCCAAAGTGGAATACTATTTTAAGAGTAGAAAAATTTCTTTGGTAAAGATGTATGAAACTGTACCTTGGGAATTTGTATGGAAGTATATATTAATATTTTATTATGCATAATACTATATATATTTACAATTTTATTATTTTACATACTTTCATATTTTTATTTTTGATTAAACTTCTTATAAATTTATAAAGTGTGGCAGTATAAAAATATATTGATCCAGGCTTCTTATATTTTAATGACTCTAATATATTGTAAATCTTAATTATTATTTGTATTTTATTTATATAATAATTATTTATAACAATATATTAAAAACAGTTTGTGTTATACATATCATGATATTTAAAAATTACAATGCTCAAAGTATAGTTGAAACGTAATGATAAAGATCATTTGTATTTATATTTTTAAATTATGTGTTCATTATCATTAAACAGAAGTTAAAATGATACATTTTCAAACACTTATATAACATATGATGATGATACACATTATTATCATGAATGTTAATACATATATTAGTGATGTAGAAAACAAATCCTGAACATAACTTGATATGTGCCATTAACGATGAAAATATCCTTGATATAAAATTGATATTGTTTTATTTTATTTTCACAACTAAAACAAATATTTCGTTTCAAATAAAAATTATTAAACTTTAGAGAGGGAACATTTCTAAATTAGTTCGTAAAAAATCCAATAAAAATTAAATTAAATAGATGAAATGTGTTAAGAAATTTTCATATTACATTTAGCACAAAAATAAAATAGCCTAATTCTTGAAGTTATACATTAAAGTTTTAAAAATATGAAGTTTAATTAATTTGAGGACTAAAAATGTGTTCGTTAGTATGTGGTAAAAGCTTACCATCCGGTTTATTGTTATCAGATTCATTAAATTCTTTGTAATTTTCAGGTATTGGGTGTGGTCCTGGATGTCTTAAATCATTTGCTTTATCTTGAACTTCTTTAAATGATGCTTTAATATTATCTAGTGCATTACCTAATCCTGTTTTAATTTGATTAAATTCTTGTGTCACCAATGAGAGTCTTCCCAATAGATAATTTAAATTATCATCAACTTCGGTCATGCGTTTTGTTATTTCGCTTACCTGTAGGAATACACGCATATAAGTATCTAAAGTAATATGTTAAGCATTTTTTTTATTCAATATCAATTCTTACTTTAGTTTCCATTCCTCCCATGGTAGAAGTTGTACCATTAACATATTTTTCATTTTGCTTATGTAATTTGTCTAATGCTTTTGCACTTTCTGTCATTTGTTGATACATGACATTTATTTGTCGCCACACCTTTTATTTAAAAAAAATTTAATACAAATAAATTTGATAAATATAATATATTTAATGCTCAATAATAGTTTTTTAGAAAAATATATTTTTAATCATTACCTGATTCATTTCTTGTTCCATCTTAGTAGTTAAATTTGCTAAAGCTCCATTTTGATTGTCCATAATATCATTTGATATGCCATCAAATCTTTGATTTAGAGTATTATTAATATTTGTACCTTGTGCTTTCACTAAATCTCCTACCTCTAGAAGAATTTGATGCACACCATATTCAACTCTTCTTTTAGTATCTAGGACATGATCAGCCATTGATACTATTACAGATTGCCCTTTTTCAAGATCATTTAATTCTTGATTTACATGTTCAGCATTATTTGCCAAGTCCATTCTAAAACCTCCGAAATACTCAATAAGATTTTATTATTATTGAATTGTTATATTTAGAAAGATAATATTAACTAATTAGTAATTTATATATGATATTCTTGCGCAAAATACATAGTATTTACATACATAATACATTTTTATTCAGAGGAATATAACTGTTAATAATGCTTGTACTGTTCAATTTAAAGAATACGATTATAAATACAAATATTTTGAAAATATAAGATTAAGGAAATTATTATGTGTATAAAAAGTTATTTTATGTTGACACATAGTGATGATGCTTAAAATTTTATATAAAAATGTTGAATTATAGTTAATAATCAAGTGAAAAGAATAAGCAAGATAATAATATAAATTATATTTTGGGAATGTCATAAATAAATTACAATTTTAAAATAATTGAACTAAAATGTGTCAGAAGTACGTTATTACATAACAATACCTAAGTGCTCCTATATTATCTTTTATTTCATCTTTACTTTCTGTTAATTTATTTTCAATGTTATTAAGTCCTTTAGTAATAATATCTTTTAATGTATGCTTAGCTTCTTGCAAAAGTGTTTGAGTTTCATTATGTAGAGTTTGCATTTCAGTAATCCTAAATAAAATTTAATATTCATTATTTCTTATTTCCAAAGAAAAATTTTAAATCAAATTATACATAATAGCGATTTACAATTATGATTAATTCATAATTATTCATAAAAATTGGAAATAAAATTATGTTAATACAAATGCAAATGAACTTAGTGCACTGACAAACCTTTTAGTTTGTATATTCAATGTTAAAAAAATTTTCTTTTATGTTTCATAACAACATATTGTTGACAAGAGTAGTGATACATACTGTGGTAATTCCTTAATTTGATCAGAAGTATCATCTAAATGTTTCTTTATAGAAGGTAGCATTCTTGTATAATTATCAATATTTAAGATGGCATCAAATTGTGGTTCTTGTAATTTCTTTTTTATGTTTTGTGATTGTTCTTTAATTTTTTCCAGTGAAACTTCGAGATCACTAAGCTTTGTACCAATATCTTGGATCTACAGAGCATATGATTTTAATAAGTTTTTAAATGAAAATTTAAACATGTTATTTACCTCAGTCAATAATGCTTGTGTTGTTCCTGATTGAACATTTGTGGCTTCTTTTAATTTTATTGCTTCAGATTTTAAAAGCGACTCTGTTTTTGAAATTCTCTCCATTAACAATAATTCTGTATTATTTAATTTTGAAATAATATGAGCGTGATTATCTAGTGGAGGTAATGTAGTATCTGGTCTATTATTTACTTCTGATACTTTATTTTCAATATCTGTAAGCCATCCCTCTAAACGACTTTCTAAATCTTCTAAACCATCAACAGTCTTTTGCATTTGTATTCTTTCTCGTTCATCTCTCTAAATGAAATAGGAACAAATTTTTCTTTATATTATAACATATTATATTATATATATATTATATGTACATTATATACAATAATACATGTATGTATTATTGCAAAAATATATAAAGTTTTGCTGTAGAAATGTGAGTTTTTAAAAAAGTTGCACATTATAAACTTTTTCAAAAATTAATATGATAAATATACGTAAATTTAAAGTAGTTTTTCTCTAATATTGGTTACTTAGAACTACTTTGTTAATTATCAAATACCTGAGAGATTAACTGTTCTATTCCCATTACTTTTTCATCAAGTTTTGTCAATTGTAATTTTAAGGAATCGATAGTTGACATACGTTTTGTCAATACTGTAATTGCTTTTTTTAATTGTTCTCCCAGTTGACGTTCTCGTGCCTCATGCCTTTCTAATTTTTCAGTATTTTCTCGCATCATGTGTACTAAACTTAACATTGCATCTTTAATATCTTCATGTCTAAAAATTATATTACATTAACTATATTGTAATAACAGAAGCTTAACAAAAATTCATGATGGACAACAAGATGATATTTGACTTTCCATTTTTATGTAACTGTTGTTAATATAAAATCATATATAAAATAACTACTTTAATTATATTAATTGAATAATGAAAGAACTTACGTAATTTCTCTAGCATTGTTCAGATCTATACAAAGTAACTGCAGAAATAGTATTAACATATATTTCATTTTCAATTATTGTTAATTAATGTCTTGGGTTTAAAAGAATTGTCTGAAATAAAAAATATTAATTTTATTCCATGATACTGAGTGTGTATATCTTTCTTGAATATTTTTAATTATTTTCTTTTTATTGTTTTCTTACATTCTTTAAATAATTTGAAAATTATGTCATTGCTATAGCTACAAAAGTATATGCTATGTAACTGAAATGCTTCCTTTGATCAATTAATTGAATGTGCTGTTATTGAGATAAGAAGTTAAGAGGTCATTACTGATGACTCTTTGATGGATAAAGTAAACCATCCTTGTTAATAAATTATCACAATAATAAAAGCTTTTATAGTTAATGAATAAAATCATTGTGTTTGAATAACAACTATCAAAAATAATTCCCTTTAATGTATAGTTTTAAATACATTTAATCATATAAATAATTCAAATTATGCGTATTTAAATTAATATGTGTATGATATACGAGCGTGTGTACATGTATATACGTGTGAGCGCGTGTACATACATATATATGTGTGCACATACACGCAATAGTGTGAATAAGGAAAGAAAGAAAAAATTCAAATATATAAACATTTGTGTTTTTTTTACATTCTATACTTTTCGTCCTAATATTTTGTATAACTAAGTAATATATATGATAATCTTAACTCCATATTTTGTAGTTTTCAGGCGAATATACTTTTCTTTATTGTATGTTACAAAGAGTTCAAATTTTAGCTATTTATAGATCTCAGATGCACATCAAGTGCCGTTTGATGGAGCCATATGGTTCACATAAAACCATCTGTTCCTAGTGTAACAAAATCTAACTTTTGTAGTAGTATACTTGTAAATATTATAATAAAGATCTTACATATAATATATATCATTTAATATATAAACATAATACAGTTTGTTAAATGTTTTCTAATAAATGACTACCTACTTTATTCATCATGAGAATCGTAATTATATTTTTATTTAAATAATGAAATATGTTCTTACTATTAATATAATTTTATTTTGATACAATCATAACACAATAAAATATTCCGTTTTATATGGTTTTCCTAATATATTTCACTTTCTTATTGTTTCCGAACAAATCATTTTTCTATTTCTATCGAATTGTATCTTATAAAATATTTATATTATAATAGTTTCAAAATGATATTACATATTTCATAAAGAAAATATTTGTAATTGTTGAATATGAATATGCTTATATGTACATGATATTAATCTTATATGTTAAACACTAAACAACGATATATATGTTTTACTTATAACAAGAAAATTTATATTATAATTTTTACAATACTGTACTTATTTTGTAATATTATTTACTTCAATTATATAAGTAATTTACCACTTATAAGATTGAAAATATCATAATGCTAATAATTAATTTCAAAGTAATTTCCAGCGTACCATTTTAAGTCATGATTATAGTTAGTGCACACTGACCACCATTTTAAAACATAAATTAAGATCTAATGATTCAAAATGAAAACAGTTCAATGTACACTAATGAAGCCGTCATCTTTATATATATTTCAGTCATGTATCATTTTACTAATACAGCAATAAATAATAAAAGAAATGTTCTTGTTTTTAATCATAAACAATAATAAAGAAAATGTTGAACTTTCATAACAAAGTTGTTGAAGTAGTAATTTTAACAAAATATGATAATAACTTTTACAAATGTATATTAACATTTATTTAGAAGGAAGTATTTTTTATAACATTTAACAAAAAAGGGCATAAATTAAGTGAATAACACAAATATGTTCGTTAAATAAATAATACAATATTTGTAATTACTAAAAGATAGAAAATAAATATATGTTATTAATAAACATAAAATATAATATAATAAACTACAGAAAGACAATCTGGATATTTACTTACATAAGTAATATTTGTACTCTAATCCTTTGTGTATAACAATCAACGTGTAAAGAAGAACGTACTGTTTCTCATTCGATCAGCGAACAAGTGATTATGGTATCATTAGGTAAGTCCACATTTGGATTTTTAAAAAACTGAACTCAAGGTATATGCTATTTAGTAGCGACATATAGCGGTCGTTTTTGGTACTTAGCAAGATGCAACTTTTAATACTAATAATAAATATGTATACATATACTGAATTTTAATGCAATTGCATTTCATGACTTTAACATTTAAAATTAAAATATTTTCATAACATATAAAATTTCATTTTATAAATTTATAATATCTATAAATAAAGAAGATGCTAAGTAGAAAGCTCTTATAACCTATATTAACTTATCAATACATATTTCGTATTTTAACTCTATCTAGTGCATTGTTAAAGTCTTTTCTATTTTATTAGAATATGAGAAAAAAGATATAGAAAATCTTTTTAAAATATGTAATAATGTTTAAAATGTTATTTCAACTTTGTGAATAAAATTTAAAAATTTTAGAAATTTAAAATTGATATTTCTGACAATTTTCAATATGCATTTATTTTATGTTTGTATAATAATACGTTGTAACATAATGTATCATATGAGTGTAACAGAAAAATGAAATAATATTGTTAGAAATTCAATAAGCTGTAACTTGGTTCTTTCACCATTCACCATTCATATTGCAAAAATTATTATTTATCTTTAGCAGAATGGAATTAGTTGTAACTATTACAAAAAAAGAACTTTTTTCTAATTTTACACTTTCCATTTTAATAATTTAAAATTCGATAAAACAATTTATATTGCTACATATTATAATTTAACAATATGATGTGTTGTAGATTAAAACTAAATTAACAATTCATATTTAATCAGCAAGTAAATATGAAATTTTCTCTGTCTGAAATGAGTATAAAATCTTAAGAATTTCCATTCTACAAGATGCCATCTATTAACTGCATGTTCATTTTGTTCGTGAATGTGAAATGCTACTTTTCATTTCGTGGGTTATATTATGTTGTAAATAATGATAATTTTCCTATATAAATTTATCATTATCTGTGAGATGATTAATTATTACATAGTTAGTGGTTAACTTTATGTAATCGTATAAAAATGTACAAACTTTTAATAACACGAGTTACGGAACGAATATCTCCACATGGTGTTTTCTTCATACCAAAGCAAGTAATAATGATGCAGCGATCAATGCGTCTATGCTCCTTCTGTAACTTTTACCACGGAAATATATCAAAATGTATGTTTACATTGTATATAATTCAGTTTTATGAATAATTTATATATATAAGTATTTTATTACTTTTTGTCTGCCGGCTACAAAATGAGATTGAAGTAATTTATATATGTACATATTTTAGGGTTTGTATCATTTAAAGTTTCAATTTTTGAGATTATTAAGTTATTACATGATCAGGTTATAGTATAATATTTTAAAATATTTATCAATTATAATTTCATTATTAAAACGTTATGTAATTTTTAATATTTTCCCATTTCAATGATATTTACATAATAAACGTAATTAACCTGAAAAATCTCGTGCTGCTTTTCACACATGATTGCGTTTCTATTAGACCTAAGCGTTTTATGAAATTTTATTATGATAGATATAGAAAAATTTTTAATGTGTTACTTAACATAATAAATTTATCATTAGCATATCATTTTCTGCGAAAGTTGATTTTAAGATAGCCACTTTGAGCGCTGTTATTTGGTATGACATATTTGCGATGGCGGGCAAAAAAATGTTTAAAATTCATACTTGTGTACAATATGTATATTACATTAATAATAACTTTGCATTAAATATTTTTTACCATATTGATAACAGTCATCTCTTATATGGACAAACGCCATCATGCATAAGTATTTGAACATTTCCAAATTATTATAAATATATAAAATATATTTCAAATAGAACTTTATACTAATTTTCGCTTCTGATCTTACCTCGGACTACCATATATAGTTATTAGATGTGGATGAAAACGATAGTTGATATTAATTAGTATAAATAAAAATGTATCAATTGAAGATGCCCAAGAATTGCTTGTGCATTAATACCTAAGTTAAATGACTTTAAGTATACCTGTTCAATGTTGGGATCTTTAAATGATTGGAATATGTATTTGCAACCACACTCTAAAAGTTTATATAGATTTTATAAAATGCCAGCTGTTTATTAAAAATGAATATGAAACTTGATTGGCACAGATATATTCTTTGTTTCAATATCAATTTAGCAGAACATTTGATCCCAATTATGGCAAGAAGTAAAGAATTAACAGTAGAGCAACAATCTTCTGTCATAATATTGAAAATATAATAAGAATATCAATGTTTTAATTGGACTACATTAAGTGTTTAAGTACTTATACATGGTAGTGTATATATTATATCTATTTATAACTGTTTTTGTCAAAATTAATTGTATTTTCTAAAAATATGGTGTTTTGTGTACTGATTATCCATTAAATTTTCTTTTGTTCTTTACTGTAACAATCGAAGCTTGAACTACAAGCTATAAAGCACTCAAGAAAATTTGCATATCATTTGGAAATGATTTTCCTAACAAATATATAATATATAGTAGTTTCAAAAATTGACCGTGGAAATGAAAGATCAAAAGTAAAATCAAATAGTATTCATGATGTTTGTTATGAAGTTTCATAATAAAGATACACAAAAAATTGTATTTATACAAAGTAAAAGGTAAATATATTAGGGGATTTAATTCATAATGCAAAGCAACGTAAATATGAATAAAGTGAAAATCATTTTGATAAATAATTTTAAAACTTAGTTGGGAAACTAATATAATTTTTTATTGGAATTATCTGTTTTTAACAGTGCAACATTATATGACTAAGAAAATAATAATGTATAATTGGAAATAATGTATATAGGAATAATATAATAAACAAGAAGTCCTAGAGTTTGACAGTTTAATTTTGTCAGTATATTGTATATTGTGACAACTAGTAAAAAATGTCATATACAAATAAGCCACCTTTACCACATAAACCACATAAACCTTTTTAAAAAATTACAAGTATAAAAATAAGAAATTTGTTATAATTAGTATTTGACATAATAAATTTATTTATTAACAAATAGATATTATCTTAAATATATGCCACGTAATATTTAATGTAAATATGTATTATATGTATAAGATATTAGATATGAATTTGGTGTTTCACATTCACATACATTTTTTAATTATTCATGTTTACAAGCTTATAACTGTAATGTACATTCATTTTATTTATAGCTATCAAATACCAGCAAGTTCGTATTTATGGTACAACAACAGTAGATATATTGAGTCATTCACCAATAAAGAAAGGAAAAAAGCAAAGAACAAAAAAATATGCCGAATTATTAGCAGGTAAAATTTGATATTATATTTACATAAATGTGTTTCACATATTGACATAAATTATTCTGCAATATTGTACCTTTTTATTATAGTAACAAATAAAACAGCAAGTACTAAGAGGACTGAAATAGAAAAGTTAACAGCATCTGATTTACCCATGCTTGTTGATAATCCTGACATCACTACAGATAATTCATGTGAAAGTAAAGATGTTACACTTAATCAGCTCTTTGATTCAAAATATATGAATGAAAATTATCATGATTTTTGTGATACTGAAATTTATTTAAATATTGTAAGTTACAGTAATTTATTCCTAATTAATTGTGTTAATTTATTTGCTTTACTTTAAATATTAAAATATTAAACAGAATATTAAACATAATTATTTAGAAATTAAAGTATATGTAAATTTGGATCTCAATAAAAAAAATAAGTTGTTATTTTTATAAAAAGTTTAGTTCATAAACAATAATTTATTTCTGTAAATAAAAATATTAATCCATAGTGTCAAGCACAATATTATTGTGATACACCAGAAATCAGTTTTTCTAAATTACAACTTAAAAAGTATTTTACAGTTGAAAATTGAATTTTTAAAAGATTTTTCAAACATAATGTTACATTATTTAAGTATTATAACATAACAAGATTATATATTTATTTACTTTATAACTCATTAATAGGAAAATAATGTAGATATAGTTACTGAAAATGAAATGAAAGATAATTTGAATATTGGTAATGCAATCAAGAATAATATGCTTCAAAAAGATTCCACATTTCATTCTATTAAACAGACCAAATTGAAAGATCAGAAGTTGGAGAATGTGTTAAAGTTAAGCACGTATGTATTATAAGAATGAAATTATGTGATTTTGAAATATTTGTTTTCATATTATACTATCAATTTGATAGCTCTATTTTTATCAATATCTTTCCTTTGTGATTTTGTACATGTGTAGAGTCATGTAGCATGTAGATTATTACTTATTAAAATCATTACTAAACATTACAACACATTACAAACAATATGATATGAGATTTTCTTAGTTTATTATAAAATTTAATTTTTGTTACTGTATTAAACTTTATAATTATCATTTTATTTTGAAAATGATCATATTGAAATTGTCTTGTGCAGAAATATAAACAATTTTTAATAATATAAAATTTTCATGATATATTTTTCTCTTTTAATTCTTACTTTAACTTTTGTTGAATATTGTAACTTTATAAAATATTTATTATTATTATTTACTAAATTTTGTTTTGCACATATAATTAGTATTGTATTATTTTGTAACATTAATTAAAGATAACTTTTACTAACAAAACTGTTTCTCTCAGAGGTAATGCACACAAGAAGATGGAAATATGTAAAACTGAAAACGAGTATAGAGTAAAAAATTATGTTGAAAGTTTATTAGCACATATACAAGTTTATTTAAGTTGTGGATTGTTAAACAGAGCAAACAGAACCTTAATGAAATGTAGGAAATATGTTACAAATAATTTGGAATGTAATGAAATTATTAAGCTTTACAATATACTTTTGGAAGCATATGCTTCCAGAAGACAAATAGGAAAAGTTTTAGAGTTATATGATATGATAAAAAATGATTCTTTAACACCAACATCCCAAACTTATGGATATATATTTGATGCTTTGGGAAATGAGACTGTAAATAAAAAACAAATTGGTAATTATATATACATATTTTATTGCATATAAATTTTTAATATGATTGAACTTGCATGTATAAAGGAAAATATACTATAATAATCTATTTCATTTGCAGAATTACTCAAAAAATTAAATGTTGAAATGAATAATTACAATATATCTTTCGATGATATCTTTAGTAAGTCATACTTTAAAATTAGTCAGGAAAAAAATATATTAAAGGCAATTAGGATATTAATACCAGACTTTGAACCAGCATACGCTACATTAAATAGAAACTATAGATGTAAACTTCTAAAAGAAATTCAAATGGCAAGTAGCTGTGAAAGTCCAGCAAAAGAAATATTAACAATAAACCAACTAAAAAATTTGTTAGAAACACAGCTTCAAACTGAATTAAAAATTGAAACACAGATACCAAGTATTATAGTATGCAAGGAAGATATGAACACTAATCTGGTAAGATATTATTATGCAATATTCTATTGCCTAATATTTCAAATATATATTAATTTTTATACTTAAACATTACACTTGCTTTTATAAATACAAATGCTTTTTATAAATCTTCAAGATTTGATATAGTACTAATGGTTTCTTTATCGTATATCAGGAAACAAAAGTTATGGAACTAGAAAATTATTGGAAAGATGCAGCATTGGCAGCTTTTGAAAGGAATTTGATGTGCTTAAAACAGAAGGAGTGTCAATCTCATAATACTCTGATGATTTTGTATCCATTTTTAGAAGTTTTGGATAGAGAATACTACATAAATGCCATATTACGTGAAATTAGACGATTAGCTGCAGGATCAGAAACTTTTAGTTCATCTCTTAAATCATTATACATTGCATTGGGAAAATACATTTATAAGAAGTATGAGGTATGAAACTATTTATATGTCGGAGAAGTGTCAGGAATAGGGTTGTGGGCGTTTGCTAGATCTTCATTGGAATTGGCCATCGCTGTGTTATAACGACGGTACGGTCTGATGCTACGGGTATGGACACCACTGATTCGACAATCAACAGCGGTGGTTGGGCACTTGCGATGTTAGCGACGTTGGTCTTAGGTTCGATGACGAATCCACGGTCAACGGGATGAAAGATATACTTGCTCTGACTCAAACTCACTGATCGTCAGGCGTTGCTCCCTTAATCGGTGGAATCTCAAGAAAGAATGAATTTTCGTTCCAATGATGCCACAGAGGAAAACTATGATGGGATGTGTCTAAGGACACGAGATAATCGGATTCGTTGAGTATAGCCGTCGTTCAGAAAGTAAGGGAAATTGACGTCGCTGTCAATTGGTCAATTTGGGACAAAGACTGCCTGTCCGTTTGAAAAATCTTAATTATCGAAAAAACCCAGGTTTTATAGCGGGTCCTCGGGCTAACTGGACTTGTACTATGTAAGTGCCTCAACATCTGGTATTCATTGCCCGAAGGAACCGTTGGCATGGTTTTATTTATTGTCCGAAGGAACCGTTAGAATGTTTTACTGTCAGGTACCTCTATGGGTATTTCCTTTAATAAGGGTCATAATATCACTCCACACCTTTGTTAGACGAAGCGCCCGTCCCGTTGACCGCGGCTACGTTCGGCGGCTGATGGTCGCCTTGAGCCTAAGTTTATTATCACAAATCGCAACCAAGTACAATTGGGCAGAATTGTTTTTTTTTTTTTTTATTTATTAAAATTACAATCAATTCTCGCATTGAGAATTTTCAGTAATTTTTCTGGCGTGGCGCAGTGACATGGCTGATTAAATTGGGCAGAATGACGGCAAATTGTTTAATTATAACTGTAAGCTTTAATTACAATTTTACGGATTTTCCCGAAGTTCCAGAGGGAAGGCTCCGGTATCCTTTCATCTCCGACATATATATCCTATAACACTGCATACAAACCGACAAACATACAACGACTCGGTACATTAAAAAATTATTAATTTTGTAAATTTAAAATATATCAATGCCGTTTTTGTTTCAACCAAGGGCAAGACTTTTGATGTTTCGAGAAAATCTTCAGCGTGAAACTGAAACGAGAGTTCAAGTATCCTTTCATCTCCGACATATATAAATTATATTTATACATTTGTTGATAAAATATTTGTGTACTTTGTCATTATAATATTCATACACATACACTCAATTTTTATAATCTTAATTTATAGATTGAAATAAAGAAACAAACTGGAGTGTTAGATAAAATTATTAATATTTATTCAAAATACCTTGAATGGTACTTACATCCTGAAAAAATGCCACATTTAAATAATATGAATAATCGTACTGTATGGGAATATTTTGAGTATAAGGAAACAAAATATGGTACACCTTTAAATTTTACCTCTGTAAATTGGCCTATAAATGTAATAATAAATATTGGCAAATTTTTGTATCATATTATCTTGAATGATATTATGCTTAAACCTGACATTTTAAAAGGACAAGATTTAAAATATTCAATCCCTGCATTTTATACATTGTTTAGGAACAAAGGAAATTATTTATCAGAACAGGTTTGTATGGAATATTATTAATTAAATATTGGAATATTCAAAGTTTTATAGTACCCAATATTTTCAGCTAGTTTTATGGGGAAGGTTATTGAACTCACTAATATCTGAGAGTTTTAGAGAAAAAATTAAATATTATTTAAATATTTTTAATACATAAAATTTATTTTTATGTTACAGATTAAACCACATCCTCTGGTATCAAAGTTATATAGAAAGGTACATTTAAAAACATTAACATTTAAATCACTTCTTCTACCTTCTTATAGTCCACCAAGTCCATGGGTTTCAATACATTTAGGAGGATATCTTATAACGAAAACTGATTTTATAAGAATCTCAAGTGATTTTGTAAGCTTGCAATTTTTATTTATTTTTTAAGTATATATATGTTATACAACAATATATATATTATCTTCAACATTATACTATATAAGAGAAATGTATACTATTTATATTTTTTATTTAGGATCGCTTATGGCATAAATTTGAAAATACAGAACCAGAACAGTTATTTCCTATATTTGATTCATTGAATCAGCTTAGTTCTATTCCATGGAAAATTAATACTGCTATACTCGATATTGTAATTAAGGTAATTCTGATATTAGAATAATTGTCTAATAGCTCTTATTGATAATGAATACAAATTATAATTATTATAAATAATTTCCATTTGTATGTGTTTCTTAATTAGATTTTTCAAGATGGTGGTTCTGTAGAATTAAATGTTCCTCAATCAGTTTCTGTACTAATTCCACCAGGTCCAATAAATAAAAATGCTACTGTTGAAGAGAAACAAAAAGCAGCAATAGCAATAGCTCAATATAATCAAGAGAAGTATGATATGTATTCGTTGTGGTGTGATACTCTTTATAAGTTATCCATCGCCAATCATGTATGTTTTTTATCTTTTCAAATATATTAATTTTGTATCGATAAGCAAATTACGGTTAAATTACATATGAAGTATATATTAGACTATTTTTAATTCCTTTATAATTCTTATAACTAAATACGTAATTTTATATATTTATACCATTCTATATAGTGAATTCTTTATTTTTTTAAAGTTTAGAGACAAAATATTTTGGCTCCCACATAATTTGGATTTTAGAGGAAGAGTTTACCCAGTACCTCCTTATTTAAATCATTTATCATCTGATTTGGGCCGGTCTTTACTTTTATTTGGAAAGGGAAAACCTTTAGGTCCAAATGGATTAGATTGGTTGAAATTACATGTTATTAATTTAACTAACTTTAAGAAAGCAGGTTCTGTTAAAGAACGGCTTGAATATGCAAATCAGAATATGGATAATATACTTGACAGTGCTACTAAACCTTTAACAGTAAGTTTTTATTTCAAATAAAAGGATTGCTTTTTATTTTAATATATTAAAGGACAAGATGAAATGGCTACATAAGAAATTCATAATTACATGTTTATACTAAATAAACCTACACAGCTTTTTTAAATTAGGATACTTGAAATAATTTTAAATAAAACTGGTATTTATATTGTAAAGGGTAAAATGTGGTGGAAACAATCAGAGGCACCATGGCAAACTTTAGCTGGGTGCATGGAAATAGCAAATGCATTAAAAACACCAAATGTAGAAGAATATGTGTCTTCGTTTCCAGTACATCAAGATGGCAGTTGTAATGGACTTCAACATTATGCAGCACTTGGTAAAGATAAAATTGGTGCGGAAAGTGTTAATTTACATCCATTTGATACCCCAAAAGATGTATATTCTGAAGTTGTGTCAATTGTAAGTTTACTGTATTACACAAAATTGTAGCTTGCAATATATATACGTAAATATTTTTGGAAAAAAAAATATTCAGTTACATTTTAGATTGAAACACAACGACAAATTGATGCAAAAAATAATGTTAAAATTGCACAAATATTGGAAGGATATGTAAAAAGAAAAGTTATAAAGCAAACTGTGATGACAACAGTATATGGTGTAACAAAATATGGTGCAAAACATCAAATAGCAAAACAGTTAAAAGGTAAATTTCATTTTTCAATGTATGCAGAATATTTGGACAAAAAAAGAAAAGATTTAAGGTATATTGTTACGAACCAAAAAGAGATGAAAATTTATTTTAATATTCATATTTCGTGTAGATATGCGAAACTTTCCAAAGGAACATGTTTGGTCTGCTAGTATATATTTAACTGAAAGCACATTTCACAGTTTAAGAAAAATGTTTAAAAGTGCAAGAGAAATTCAAGATTGGTTCACAGAATGTGCTCAAATTATTTCTTCTATTTGTTGTGAAAATGTGGAGTGGGTTACCCCATTAGGTCTTCCTATTATACAACCTTATATGAAACAAAAATCTTTAAATAACAATATTAATGATAATAGGTTAGTACAAGTATATAATTTTGTAAATACATCAATTTACTTTTAGTATCTAATATTGTAATGTTCAAAAGTAACATCTTTGGAAATGTTTATAGGAAACCTGATAGGATAAAACAACGAAATGCATTTGCACCAAACTTTATACACTCTCTAGATTCCACTCACATGATGCTTACTGGGCTACATTGTAATAAAAATAATATTACTTTTGTCTCAGTACATGATTGTTTTTGGACTCATTCTTGTACCATAGATGCTATGAACAAAGTAAGTAAACTACTAAGTAAAGTAATTTACTGCACCATCCATACATTTCAATGTTTTTGAATATAATACATAGTATAAATCTAATAGTACTCCAACAGTCCACAAAATATAAAGTAAATTATAAACAAATGTAAAATGAATATAAATTGGATATTCAAATGTTTTTCATATTTTCTTATAGATACATAATTATTTTTTATAGATATGCAGAGAACAATTTGTTGCTCTTCATTCTGAACCCATCCTTGAAGATTTAGCTATATTTTTTGTGAAACGATATTTACCAATTTATAAGTAAGTAATATTTACAAAAATATATATTTCTAGTAAAAATATAGATTTATAATTTACAATGCAATACAATATAAATTAATGTACTGACAGTATTATATTTAAATATTATATAATGTTAATCTAATAAAACGTATATTTTAATTTGAGTATAATATAATTTCAGACAATTAAAGTGTAAAAATAAGCCTGACATTGAAACAATACGCAGATGTTTAACTAATGTACCATCAACAGGTACTTTTGATATTAATAATGTTTTGTCGTCTATATACTTCTTTAATTAAATTTTTACGAGTCTTAGAACATTTTATGTAAATTAATGATAAAAATAAATTACTCAAATATAATGTAGTTTTTATATCCCTTACTTTATATGTATTCAATTCGTAATTTATGCCTAAGTAATTATATTTTAATATTCATAAAATAGTTCTTTATTGATTTCAAATAATACATTATGCCAACTGAAGGTTGAAGATTAAATCTATTAAAATAATGTTTTACAGATATAGATAGATAGAAATACTTTAGATAAAAATTTCAATATTTAGAATACCTTTTATATACATTTTTTATTTGTTTAAAGTGGTGTTACTTATACGGAGCATTTCTGAAATTATGGTACATGCAGTCGGATGGTGATTCTACATGCAAAGATAAGTCGAAAAAGAAAAAAGAACACTTTTTCGTTTAAGACTTCGTTCTCGAGAAAAATGAGTTTGAAATCCCATCAGATATCCGTATATTAACTGGATGCTTTAAATTATGAACTTCTACTTCTGTATTATTAAATATGGACAATGCCACGATTTGCTTCCTGTTATTGTTGTTATTTCATTTCCGAAATATCGATATTACTTTCCTTTATTCTGTATTTAATCTGCATTTTGAATGATTTTATAAATAAGAATAAGATTAGTACTTTTTAAGAATTATTTTATTAATTAAGTACTTAATGGTTTAAAAACTCATTTTTTTTCATAAGTAAAACTTTAAATGAAAAAACGTTTTTCTTCGATTTATTTTTGTATGTAGAAACACCACGCTTGTATATTTCAGAGACACTCTGTACATATTTATATTTATAATTCGTATAAAATTTAAAATAAATAAATTTAAAATACAAATATCATACTTTTAAAGTAGTGTTATAAAATAAGTGATTTCTAAACTTATATCACATTTGGATAAAATCTTTCGCTTTTTTTTTTAAGATTATGAAATATAGGTATATTATAGGTATGGTTGCCATCCACAATATAAGCGACAAAGATTCCTAGGATCATGGGCTTCTTGTATAAGTCTTTCAACTTGACCAGATACACTAGATGCTAATCCTTCTTCAGTGCCTTGTAGTTTTTGCTCTATTCTCAAAAGAGCTCTTTCTGCTGTCTTATTAGTTGCTCTAGAACCTATCAATAATAAATATTTTTAAAATATTTTTCTGTAGTACGAATATGATACAATGAATATGTAACATATTATATTACATTATTCATATATTTTCAATAAAATATTAAATTTTATTCGTAGAATATTATTAATTTATGCGATTACTATAAAAAATATAATACAAGAAAAGAAAATATGAAAGCATAAATTATATTTACACTGATTATTTTCGACTAATTTTGATGATGTTCCGCCGCTTTGAATGTTACGTGCTTCAGCGGGTGTTATAGTCCATTTAAATAATGGATCATATAAAAGAACTTGAAGCAATGTTATAATTATTTGTCTTTGATCACGTAATACGGTTAATGTTTTCTCACAGCAATGTCTCATTGTTCCCTCTACGCCAGATACACCCATACCGTCTTCAATATTTTGTGTAAGTCGAAATGGAATGGTTTCAGGAACTGGTAATACCTTTCCTTGTTCAAATGCTATGCCTATTATATTCAATAACAAAAAAATTGAAGTATTCATAAATTACATTATTAACCCTTTGCACGTGAGAGGCGAATTTCAATCACCACGGCATTCCGTGTTGCAACTCCAGTGGCGAGCGAGAGGCGATAGTCCCTGTTTATGCTAGATTTCGATATCTCCAATTGATGAGAGTGCAATATTGGTTCGTAAATTGGTTCCTTAGCTCTTTGTGTTCTTTGTTAGGAAGTGTAAAATGTTAAACTTTAAAATGGAGATAAAATATTTAATCCCATATCCCTCCGAAACTATGGTTCAACTATGGTATTGAAACAACGTCCCCAACATTGGTTCGGATTGGATCGTGGCAAAAGTATTATAGTTTAGAAACCCTAAAAAAGTGGTTTTCGGAAGTGAAATTAGCTCAAATGAAGATGAACTTGATTTTGAATTGTTGAAAAATGAGATTAATTATATCATCTTGGTGAATGCTTTATAAGTTATCATACAACAAAATACAGAAATTAATATTACAAAATCATATTTTCAAAGATGTAAATATAGATAAATTATTAGAATATAATGTTTTTGCAAGTTAATTTGTATATGAAATCATTTTACACTAGCTGTAAGATACGCGTCACGTATACGCTAAATCATCCGGAGTAGCTGCTACGCCCGGCCGAAAAAGTCCTCGAGTGCAAAGGGTTAATAATAGCACTAATAATACAATGTTGCTAATATTACTACTAGTTTAAAAAATTACATAATCATATTTACCAAAATCAATATGAATTACTTCAGCAGTTATTTGATCAATTAAGATATTACTTAAATGTCTATCTCCTAATCCTAAAATATATCCTGCCATTGATGTTGTTGCTATACTGTGAAAATATAGTAAGTATAATTTAATGAATATAATAAATTCAAGAGTAATTACTATATATAAATATTATTACCTGCGTGTATACGCTAATCTGCGTTCAAACCACGTTTCAGGTGATGGATATCTTTCAATAAAAAAATAATGCATCACTGGATGCATATGGGCACAACAATCCATAAATACTTTCAACTTTACATTAGTTGATGATTTTCCCACTGCCTAGAAATAAAATTTACATTATATTTCCATACTACAATATTCTATATACTGTAAGGTATCGCATAGCCATTATAAAATTCATACTGCAAATAATAATCAAAATAAGAACAATACATATCGGTTGTAAAATTAAATGTTATTTGAATATAATCTTACTGCTAGTTTGTCTCTACAATAATTTGCTTTATAATCCTTTGGATAGTATTTCTCATGAAGTCCTTGAATGGTACCTGAACCTACCAATATAGTTACGATAGGTATTGTTTTATCACACCATTCAAGTATTCCTGATCTTTGTGTTAATGGCACAACCTAGAAAAGTAATAGAAGAAACATAAGTATAGGACATATAAGATTATAATTACATTAACATATAAAATAGATATTTAATATATCTAAAATAATTTATATCACTAATTAATCATATATCAATATTAAAGAAAGGAAATGCTACAAGAGTAATTAATTCAAGTACAGAAGTAGGAAAGGAGCAGAAGAAAATGATAAAAAGAAAAAAAGGGAAGCTCTTATTCTGGAATGTGGCAGGAGTGGAGAGAAAAAATAAGGATTTTTAGGGATATATCGAAAAATTTGTTTTTATAAGGTCAGCAGAGACATAAGAGGACAAAAGCTGATAAAGAATACAGGACATATTATCTAAGGGATTTGAAAGGAAAGGAAGAATTTATTTATTTTATAAAGGAAGAAAAATGGAAGTCGGAGGTGTAGAAGGGTGAGTTAGATAGTTTAATGTAAGCTAAGTCCATCTCATGGCCGGTGATACTGAAAAACGTTAAATAAATAAGAAAAATAATAATAATTAATTTAATGATGACAAATTCTTGAAATATAAATAATTTGTTAATATTACCTTGTAAGTTCTAATTGTTAATTTTCTACGTTTAGTATCTTTATGAGATTTTAACAATATATTCATTACATTAAACACTTGTTGCATTACAGCATCTTGTCGTAAATCATCTTTTCCCTAAAAGTATATTTAAATAATTAAAAGTATATAGTATTCTTTCTCTCTCTCTCTGTCTTTCGATAGTATCAAAAATAAATGTTTTTTTATCCAGTATTGAACACATTATGTAATACACTCAATAATATACCTTTATTAATTCATGTCTATATATGCCATCTGTACCAATACAAGTTAATTTTTTTGGAGTATTTATACCTCCAACAGTTTCATATGATTCTGTATATTTAGCAATGCCAATCACATTGTTGTAATTTCTGGATGGTCGTACATCAATTGTTAATGTTAGCACAAATATGTTTTCAAAATTTTTAATCTTTAAAATTTTTTGATTTCTTGGTATTTTAATTTCATAACCCGCTAGAAATGGAAATTCTATGATGAAGTATTCTACAATTAGAACTAAGTTTAAGATGTGCTATTACACATAATGTCTGTTTATATGTTTGATATATGTATAATTATATTTTCATTAAAAATACTTCTACTTACATCTTCTATCTACTTACATTTATTTGAGGTAGTTGAAAGATTAGCCAACATAACTAAAGCATGTGATAACTTTTCCATTTCTTGTATAATTAAATTTATATCTGATTCTTTTATTTCTTGTAACAATTTTTGTGTTCCAAGAACTCTTGGTTCTAGTGTTCTACTTTTTCTAGCTGTATTATAATCATAATCACCATATAAATTTTTTAATGCTAACAGAACTGGTAATGTATGATGTGGATGTTCTAAAGCACAACGTTGCATAATGTTATATATTTTTTCAGAAAACTCATTAAATTCATCATTCATATGCGCAGCTAATTGTGGCACAAGTGGAATAAATTTAAAAGATGGTAATCTGTTAAGATTTTCTTGCAATAAATCATTGACTTCCTTTTGATGTATATTGTCTAACCAAAGCGCAATTATTCTAAATATTAACAAATTATAATTTTCGCTGTGCTGTAGTGCTATTAAATAATACCTGTATAAAGCAATATAATAATGTTTATTTATAGATATTAAGTAAGATAATATCAATTTTAACATAATTAACATATATTAAAATATATTAATAGTAAATGAAATATAAATATACTTTACTGATATGTAAAAAACAGAAATTATAGAGCTCTTTTATGAACTTTGCAGAAATATGGAACTTACTTTAATGCTAAAATCAAATAATTATCTTTTTCTTTTTGTATATGTTCCAGTTCTGCAACATCATTCGTATTTTGTCTTTGGTTTAAAATCATTGCACTTCTAATATCTTTATCTTCACTAATTGAATGTTTATTAATTCCTTTATAGGAATATGTAATACATTCTTTTAGATTTTCAAACTGAGGAGATTTCATATATGAACTAATTTGCTGATACTGATTATCAGCAAAACGAGCTAAAGCAA